GTTCTCCTAGGAAAATGGAAATATTCCTTCTGGCAATGGCAGAATAAAGGGACGGCAGACGGGAGTGACAGAGCAAAGGGACCACAGAGGACTGCCAGCGACTTTCACTCTGGGCACTAAGACAAGTGCACTGCTAGGGCAAGAAGGCCGGGGCTGCTCAACTTCGCATCCCTGAGACAAAGAGCCCGAGCACCACTTCAAGGAGGAAGTAGGTATTTTTGGTTCATGGTTTCAGAAGTTGCAATCCCTGGTCAGCTGACTCCATTCGTTTTCGACGTGTGGCAAGGTAGGAAGGCCATGGTGAGAGGACATGGGAGAGGGAAGCTGTTCACCTCACGGCAGTCAAGAAACAGACCAACAGAGAAAGGGACTCGGGACGAGATAACCCATGACAGAATGTCCACCCCAAGGAGTCCACCACCTCCCAACGATGCCACCAGGTTCTGAAGTCACCAGTGAATTAATCCATTGAGAAGCCAATGAGCCAATCACACCCTCACAGTTCCTCCTCTGAACCCTGTACGAGCCTTCAACACATGAACTCTTTAGGAGATACTTCATATCCAAACCACAGCAAACCCCAGTTGCTGGATTTTTCACAAAACAAGAGTTTGTCCCAGAGAATGGGGAAAAATATTTTGAGGCTTGGATGGAACGTGAGAGGAACCATGTTAGACTTAGAGCCAATTAAATTCTTAGGTATCCTGTGTGCCCAGTGGCCTGCTACAGGTTAATTGTCATAGGTGGGCACTCTAAGAACGGACCCCAGGGAGGGGTGTTCATAAGCAAGGGTTTTAAGAAAGTGTTGGACATGTACCTCTGGGGAAATGAAGCATGGGAAGTGGGGGAGAAGGGCATAGTGAACGCACCTTGAGTTTTGGTCTCAGCTAGAACCTGGACCTCCCCATGGGAAGCTCAGAGGTCACTTCAGAAATGTGCTGAGTTGGAGTGAGGAGCTGGAAAGGGCCGTTATAACCCCATGTAGAACAGGCGTGAATGCACTCTGCTGTGAGAAGGGCCATGACCCTAGCAAGACAACAATCCATCGAAAAGTTACTAGAAAAGGGTTGGTGGGGAGCTGTGTCCTGTCCTCCTTTTTTGCAAAGGGACGCAGCTAAGTTATCAGAGCCCACAACCAGACTTTTATCCTCAAACCAAAAGGGGGCAGCACCACACAGTCTCAGGAGTCACACTGTGGGTCAAAATCCACTTCTGTTAATTGCCCAATAGCCTCTCTGATCTCGAGATTCCTCATCTGGAAAATGAGGTCGGGAGATGTTGATTTTCCCTTCTGTATGTGAGGGGTTTCTTTATTGCTAAAGATTAACCTGGAAGGTTTTTATTGTATATATGAGAGGGGGGATAGACAAAGGCACCTGGGGAGTCTGCCATGTTGCTAAAACAGCCTGGGAACTAGCGTGGGACTCTGATCTGTTGTAGGTTGGTTTGAGTTAATAGAGAACTAGATGTCCTTTCTAGATACGGGGGGCGGAGCGGTTACGATGTTAAGCAATGGACATGTAGAAGAGTGGCTGGAACAGAGTAAACATTTAATGAGTGTTGTTTTAAAGAAGTTACATGGGGCTGGAGAGATTCCTCAGCAGTAAAGAGTACTAGCTGCCCTTCCAGGGATTCTTTACTGGAGTCCCAAAATCCACAAGGCATTTTAGAACCAGCTGCAATGCCAGTTTCAGGGAATCCATCGCCCTCTTCTGGCCTCTTCAGGTAATGCATGCACGTGGTACAAAGACAAAACATGCGGGCAAAACATCCACACGCATATAACAAAAATGAATGGTTTTATTTTTAATTTTTAAAGAAGAAGCAAGATATCCAGTCATGCCATATGTGAGGGATTTTGAATAGCTACTGTACATTTTGTAAGACCAAGAAAGGGGACCCAGTCACACCACACACACAATGAGTGTATCACTCAAGTACTGGCCCTGTTCTTGTCCTCTAGAGTCCCTAAGGCAACAGCTTCTTTCCCCTACAGTGCCCTCCTTACCAGCCACATCCTCTATTCCTCGTTCACGGTAAACAGGGTAGCTTCCTTCTTAGCATCAAACTGAACTCTTCCTTGTGGCTTCCTTCCACTCCTTATGTCTTCCAGGGACCAAACGGTAAATATTTTACAACAGCTGGTCTTCGCTGCAATTATTCCATTTTGCCCTTCAAATGCTAAATCACTCAGAAACAATACCACTGTCCCTTCTAAAACAGGGTGACCAGTGGATAAGAAATCACCACAAATAAGAAAGTTACAGACTACCATGACTTTGTAGGCCAGAGATCAAGAGCAGGCTTTTGCCACAGGGTGGGGTTATAAAGCCAAAAACCATAATCACACCATGCCAGAGGCAAGCAGGACTTCAAAAGGTGCAAATGTTGATAAAAAATGATTTTTTTAAGTTGTAAAAGAGTGGACCTCCAAGTGCAGCTGCAGGGGAACGTTCAGCTGGACAGGGTGGGAGTGGGCAGGTAGAACTAGCTCGACAAGAATGAAATGGAACGACTTTGGGCAGGTCAGGGGTAGCAAACTTCTTGTAAACTACGAGCTTTCCCTCCTATGTATACTGTATCAGCCACTTTTCTCAAACTATGACCAAAATGCCTGGGAAAAGCCTCCTACAAGGAAGAACTTATGTTGGTTTCAGCGATTTCCATTCTTAGTCCTCAGCTTTGTTGGTTCCAGGCCCAGCATGAGGCGGAACACATGGTAGTGTCCGCCTGTGGAGGAAGAGGCTGCCCCTCACATAGAAAGTAAGCAAAGAGCAAACACAAGAGGGGCCAAGGCCGATATACAACCCCAGAGATAGTCCTTCCCTGTGATCTGCTCCATCCTTCTAGGCCCCAGCTTCCAGGGTTCACCACCTCCTAATAATACCACTGTGTTGTGGAATCATCAACGGGCTAAAGCATTCATTAACACAGAACATTCATGGTCTAATCATCTCTGGAAACCCATCCCTAGTCATCCCCATGAGATGCTCTTAGCTAACCTCCTAGGCTCTTGTCAATCAAATTAGGCTGACAAGATTAACCATCATATATGAATACCTCTGACAAATACAGTTTATAATTCAAAGGCGATAAGAAATCAACAACAAAGGTAATAAAATAAACCAATTAGAACAACCTAATGTTAAAAATTCACTTAAACTTACAAGTTATTTATTTCTAGAATATACATAGTCTGTTTTAGGTTGCAGTTGACCACAGGTAACTGAAGCCCACTGAATCCAAGCCATGGATGAAGAGGGACTAACTGAATGGCTGGGACTATGCTTATGTATTCTGCCCACAGGTTTTTCAGCCTCTGCTCCCTCCCAATGTGCTTTGAGCAAATTCCTTTCTCAACAATTCTTATGAAAGCATTCACTCAGCAGCTGCCAAGAATATAGGCTTTCTTTACCAGAATCCCAGTGAACACCTTTCATTAGCTCTGCAGACAACCCATCCCCAGATTAATGCCATAGCCAGCGGAGTCACTTAAGTGAAAGTCTCAATGAACTGTCAACATCCACAGGTTAATACTTGGGAATATCCGAGTGGGTCCTTCACTTCAAATGAGAGAACGGTGACATCAGTGAGGCTGTGTAGCTTGGCCAACCACAAAGAAGAACTGAGACAAAATTCAAAACCAGGTCCCCAGTTAGATGTCTATTTCAGATGTCTCTTCTAGCTCAGGTGAATGGCCACAGCTGCCATTCATGCGTGTCCACTCCATGAACAACCTCTTAATATCTCCACAACAACCTAAAGATATTACCGTCCCTTCGTGTACTTAATAGTTAAGTTGAGTCTTGGAGACGTCCAGGGACCTTCCAAAGTTGACTTGAGTAGGAACTGAAACCTACAGAGCTTGTTATGGAAGTTCAGGTGTCTGCCTCTGGACCACACCATGTTCATTTTACGGCTTCTCTTGTCAAGATTACATATAAAGTCCAGTGCTCTGGTCCTCCCTGCTCTGGGCTAGCCATCTTCTTCCTGCCCTGGTGTCCAGAGACCTTCTGAGGCTTCTAGCAGACAGAGCTGACGTTAGAGCATCTCCATACTTCCCCCTTATGTATCTAGACCCTCCAGCCTTAAGAGCTGATGCTTACAGCAATTCCTCAAAAAAAAAAAAAAATCCAATGCCACTGAGGTCAACCCACGCTGATTTGATTTCTCTCACCAGGTGGAGTTTGTCTCGAACCTGCCCAAGACCATCACAGGGAAAATCAATCGAGCGAAGCTCCGAACTGAAGAATGGAAAACATCAAGACAAGGCCAGGCCCAGTGAGACTCCCAAGGCCCTCACTGGGGTTCTGTCTTCCCCATTCTTTCCTGTGACTTCTCAGTCTTCCTATGGAGACAAAAGATTACTCATACAGAGGCGTGTGTGTGATTTCTGTCTTTGTTGAGTTATTAACACAGAACAATGACATGCGGGATGCTAAAAGAAGAAAGAGGGAATGAGAGATTTGCAGGGAAAAAAATCAAGTGAGAAAAATCTAAAACAGCAAGGAAAAGCAATTATAAATGCTAGTGAGCAGGAAGGGAGGAAGGAAGAAGGGAACAAGTACAATGGAGAGGGGGAGAAAAGAGAAGGAACTGGAGGGAAATTAGGAGAAGAGGAGACTGTGGGCAGGACACCGAAGTCTTCCCAGGTTGCTTCAATCCTTAGGAGTATCATGTCCAAAGGAGGAGGAAATGCCATTTACACAACATTTGTCATGCACAAAGGCACGGTTCTACACAAGTCACAGGCCATCCTGCTTCATACATGTGGCATCTGCAGGCTCAGCTTCTGCACCTCCCAACATGCCACTCCCTGTGGCTCACATTTCTTACTGTATCTACTCTTCCTAAAATCAATATTAAAATTGTTTCCAAATCAAAACTCTGTGGCCATTCTTTGGGTAGGAAGGAGGGGGGTTGTAGCGGCTTATGGACTGAGGAAACCATAGAGGACTGACGACTGACAGATGATGTGAATGGCTCGGTTACTATAGTTACCTGACCAGCAGCTCTACAGGTGCAAGGGGATGTTGAGGCGGCGGGAACATCACCTGTAACCTGGAGATCAAGGGTAAATGAGTCTTCTTGGAACTGGGCAATCAGGAGATGGAGGCGAAGGTTCTCAAGAGCCAGTGCCTCCTCTGAAGAACACTCGGACAATGAAAGAACACTGCTTACCAAACATTTGCCAGGAGTTAGCCACTAGCACTCTTTGACTAGAGCCATCATCTGAAGTTTCACAGAGGGGGAAACACAGGGACAGGTTCTGTCTGCGGAAGGCCTGTGCCGTGATCGTCATCCCTTAGCCCACCAGTATGTCTGCTTTGGCTTTTACAGTCTGTGTCAGTCAAAACTAAAACTAACTCCCCTTTTTTGTCAACCCCCACACATCACACACACACACACACACACACACACACACACACACACACTCTATCCCTATGAAAGTGTGAAAACCCAATACTCCAGATGTTTGCGTTAAAGAAAAGCTAGGGGCTGTTTACTCGGGCTTCACAGTGATTGCCATGTCCTGAAATGTTATAAAGATGGCATTAGCAAGGATAAAAAAAAATAATCTACGAACTAGCCAGTAAGAGTTGGAAATGAGCCCTGGTCTAAGTCTCTCATAAATATTATTTTAATCGAGCCTCATTGGGTTTCATATTATAAGCCTATTAGACTTGAAATGGTACTTTGTTTCGAAATATAAGACATTTCGTGAATTGTCAACAAGGACTCGTGAAGGAATAGGCAGCCGCTGGAAAGTCAAGGAAGCAGGCAGCCACTCCACCCACCTCCATGAGGGCAGAAGGTCACAGTCCCTCTCCTCTCACCCATCCGTGCTGTCCACTGTGAAAATCTAGGGTGGTGTTACACATGAGCCTTCCTCATTTCCTACCCCGTTAAGCTTCTTACCTTCCCACGTCAGTGTCCCCAGATTAATTCTCAAAAGAACAACATCAGTTGTTTGCATGAAGCCTGGGCATCACGTGACACAAATCCGGCTTCAGGTACCCAACATGCTGCCCTAGAAGAGATCTCTGAAAGGAAAAAGGGGCCCATGCCCCTTCACCAGCAGGTGAAGGAAAGTGCCGCCAAGTTGGACGACCTGAGTTCAATCTCCAAGGTTGAAAGAGAGAACCAACTCCTGCCCATTGTCCTCTGACCTCCACAGGTATACACACACACACACACACACACCCACACACCCACCCCCCCCACACACACACACACAGATAAGTAAATAATTATAGTGAAATAATAAAGAATAAAAAGAATTAAGTGTGGTATTAGACAACCTCTAAGGTTAGCGTCCTCTGGCTTTAGACACAAACTGCCCAGCTCCTGAGAAGCTTGCACATGCCCCTGGACCTTCTCCAGCGCCTCTGATCTCACTCCTCTCCAAAGTCTTTTCTTGATGCACGTACTCTTGGCTCATGTTTCATACTAAATTGTGATTGAAGGCTTAGATCTTAAATGGTCTTACTCAGATTTTATCTAGAGAAAACTCTATGTTCAGCCAAAGGCTTCTCCTAGTGGAGGACACTGGGCGGTTTTAGCTGAGTGACACTATCTGATCTAAGTAGCTGTTATTTTTGTCCCACGCTCTTCTCTTGATCCTGACTGGTCCTTCTTAACCTGTGGCCTACTATCATTATCCCCTAGTGAGAATGACTGTGTATATGGATGCATGTTCATGTGTGTCCAGGTGTGTGTGTCTGCGTGTGTATGAATGTGTGTGTGAAAGTGTGCTTGCACATTAGTGTTCACGTTTGTGAACACCAAAGGAAAATCTTGATTATCACTGTCGGGAATACTATGGATCTCCTTTAAGGGAGAATTTCTCACGGGCCTGAAGATCACTTAGGCTAGACTAGCCAGGCCTGTGGCCCCCGGGGATCCTCCTGTCCCCACCTCCCTAGCACTGGGGTCGCAAGCAGATGCTGCTCCTTTACTTTCTGTGCTGGCTCTCCTACCTTGAGGATAATTTTTACCACATTTCATTGCTGTGTCCAATGCATGAACCCCGCCTTGGCTGTTGTGCATAGTGAAAGCCCTTTGCCTTTCAGAGGAATCTGTGCTGTCCCTCAGTATAGACTCTGACTTCCTCCACTCCCCTCCATCCTTCCTGTGTATGGCCTAGACGAGTACTCACAGTAGCCTGTACCTTTAGTAGAGGCTAGTGTATGGGGCTGTGAAGAAGTCGCCAGTCCTTGTCTTTTCCAGCACATGATGGCGCTTGACCCCCTCATCCTCTGTTCTTCTTCTGTTCTCTCCCTGTAGTACCCTGACAGCGCCTTTTCAAAAGCAGGTGCATCAGCCGCCCGCCCCCTCACCATGCACAAGAACACCAGTCACGAGTGTGCATTAGGTCATAACAAATTAACTTAAGGAAGTGCAGATTAAAGCAGCAATTTTGTTATGCTTATAAACTCTGTGGGCTTGGAGTTTAAAAAAAGAATGGAATAGTTAGGGTTTTTGGTTTTGTTTTGTTTTTAATGTCGGTGCTCCAATACATCTAGGACCTACGGTTGAAGGATTTAGGAATTGAGAGAACTTGATGGATGTGCCCCCCCTTCTTCATATGTTGACTACTATATTTGTACTGAACCTTCTTATCCTGGATAAGAGGAGATCATGAAGGTAGGTCAGGAGGGAGTGGTAGGATTAGCAGCTTTATAAGAAAGGGGGGGGGGATCATTCTCTCCCGATCCTGTGAGACACAACAAGGAAGTAGGTGTCTGCACAGCACAAAAGTCTTGACAGAGAGCTAGATTATTTACCTGCTTCCTCATGGACTTCATAGACTCCAGAACTGTGAAAAAGAAGCTTCTGGTATTCCAGTTGCCCAACAGTGTCCAGTCACCTGTCATCTAGAAGGTTTCACTCACAAGGAACCTGAGTGGACTGGAATAACAAAGAAGAGACCTTTTATGTGGCCAGAATTTCCTCACAGCATGGTTGTCTCAGATTTCATACCTATGTAGGTAATTAAGATTAAATCATGGTAGGATTGTTGCTCAACTGAGAAATTGCAAGAATGGGGGGGGCCTTAGTTCAATCCCTAGACACCCCATAAAATAAAACTCTACATGTTATTAATCCTATCTCTGGAAGAGACAGACAGATCTTTAGGACTGACGGACCAGCCAACCTAACTTACTTAGGTCCCTAGCCACTGCGGTACCTTGTCCCCCTCAGGTGGTCAGCACCTTTGGATCAACGCCAGAAGTTCTCTTCTGGTTGCCACACACACCTGCACATACCTACACAAGATCAAATTTCCACCTACCCTCAAAGGTCAGAGAGGCCGCCAGTCACTGATATTGTCCCAGATTCTAGAGGAAGGGACAGGAATTCTACCTCTCCATGGGAGTCACAGAAGCCAAAGGCACATTATAAAACTGCACTCCTTCCCTAGCGAAGTCCTGTGCTAAGGCAAGAATGTCCAGTTCTGTGCCTAGGGAGACTTATTCCACTTGTCAACAGCCCAGCCTCGGGGGATGAACAGCCAGCTTACATCACTGAGGTAGTGACGTCACCTAAGGAGAGACTCGAATGCTCAAAGAGCTGAAGTAGACAGGGGGAATGTCACAGAGAGAGGGGAGATGAGAGAAAGGCTGGCCTTAATGGCTTAATTTGTTATGATTCATTATGACTCTGAGTTACAGTCTCTTGATTAGGACATTCTTGTCTAAATTACTTAAGGGACATCTCCAGATGTTGTCAAGTGATCGCTTTGTCCCAGTTTTTTTCTGAGGTAGGCCGTCATCCAACCTACTTTCAGGTTGGCACTTTGATAGCCACACAGACCAAGAATTTAATTTGCTTTTCCATTGCTGATGTATTTAGTCCAATAAGAGTAGAGGCCTGTAAACAGACTGTGAGAGCAACAGTTCAAACAATTGCCAAGAGAGGTCATGGATTCTATGGGACAATGGAGCCTGGTGCCCACTGTTGAATTTCTATACATGTTGAATTTGGAGCATGTTATTTTAGCAACCATATATATCTCTCTCCTAATGCTACTTCAAGGGACAGTACAACCAACAGGCAGACAATTAAATCCCCTGTGCAAGCAGCCCTGACACTCAGGGTGATAATATACTTTCCTATCCCCCCCCCCTCACACACACACATACAAAGAACAGGGCTTCCTCCTCTGCTAGGACAGACAATGAACTCTACTGTGGGGGAGAGCATGCAGCATTCTAATAGCTCCCCAAAATGCTGGAAAAATTCACATCAACCAAGCCTTCCTGTTGGGGCTGGCTAGATGACTCCGCAGCTGAGAGCACTGGCTGCTCTCTCGGAGGTCCTAGGCTTGCTTCTCGACCCAATGGTGGCTCACACCCGATCATAACTCTGCTTCCTTTATTTGAAGTTTTACCTCCTCAGGTACCAAGTGTGTATATGGAGCACCGACATTCATGCAAGCAAAACATCCATACAGATAAAATAGAATAAATGAATCTTCTTAAAATTAGTTTTTTTTTCCCCTAGAAATGCCTGGTGTCAACAAGCAGCGATGGGCAAGCCCTCTTTTTGGCTCCAGAGGAGCTTCAGGGGCAAAGCACTTGCTTTTGTGTTGAAGGTGTGAAGTTTCCCCACTTCACACCATCACACAAGTGTGATTAAAGGTGCATTCAGTTTCCTTTCTACAATGGAGATTCTGCATTAATCAACTTCTGTAGAGGAAAGTGTCTTAGTTTAGACACAGAGTTTCAGGATTCTCAGCCCATGGTGGGCTGGACTCGCTGTTTCAGTCCTGCCGTGAGGCAGCACCTCCGCCTACGCAAGCTTACATTACAGAGCAAAATGTCTCACCTCGCAAGCCAGCAGAAAGGGAATAAGGGAGGGCCAGAGCCTCATCCCCTTACTGTGAGTGTGCCTCCAATGACCAAAGATGCCCCACTAGGCCATCTCTGGGCCCTACCTCCTCTCAAGACCGCATTCCCGTTTTCAACATGAAGGACTCATAGGAAGCCAGTACCCAAGCCCGGTGTCTTCTCCACAGACTTGCTGTCAGCACATATTGAGAGACCTAAGACATAAGGTCCCCCAGGGAAGGAGAATCACCTCATTGGAGACTCTGCGGTCTAAGAACCGTGGCTGACTTGTCCAATGGCAGAGGAGGCTGTCATATCACACGTTAAGGATTTGGACTTATTCTAAAAAATAACACCATGAAAGCAGCTAACACGGGGTGAAGCCTGAGTCAACTATGCCTTTTTAGATAACTACCTTGGCGGCTGAGGGGAAAACGTGCTAAAGGAGAATTTGTAAAAGGGAATGGGAGGGGCTTAGAGAAACTTCTTTGTGGGATTTGTTGAATTAATGACTAAATAAGGGAGACAGTGTTTGAGGGAGGGGAATACTGAATGATGACTTCTGGGATTTCAACCCCACAGACTGGGGCCTATGGTCTCAGCACTTACTGAGAAAGGCGGTTTGAGCGGTGGGAATATTGTTTCACTCAGTGGCCTTGCTCATTCGGGTTAACAGTACTAGTTGCAAAATATTAATGTCTAGTATATTTAGTATCAATATATAGCACTGAAGAATTGGTCAGGAACTTAAGTTGGAGCTCAGAGAGAAATCGGGACTTTGAATGTAGGGTAGGTAATTTTCAACCCAGGAGAGTATGGAGATGGGGGAAGGAGAGGAGCAGCAGGTTACTGAGAGCAAGTTCTTGAAGAGATATAATACCTAAGGGTTCCAAAGAAGAAGGAGAGCCCATGAACACGAGGGAGACAAAAGGCCAGTGAAGAATCAGAAAGAGGGAAGGGAAAAATCCTAAAACAGTCTAACAGCACCGCCAAGAACAGCCGCAGCAAGAACTGAAGAGGGCCCATGACATCGGTGGCAGAATATTCGCGCACTTGTCTCCCTCCCGCCACCAACATTCAGTTCAGTGCGTGGGTCAGAACACTGATAGCTGTTGGCTGAGCCGGGGCGCATGAAAGGGTAGACGCAACTAGCTCTGTCTACACTTTCAATAAACGTGGATGAGGAAAAAGGAGCGAGAGAGAAGTTAAAGATTCAGGGTTGTTAAAAAAAAAAAAAAGATTCAGGGTTGTAACCTATGAAGGAAGCAGGGGCTCAAGCCCTCATGTGTTCATGTGAACAAACTCTCATGTGTTCTACCCAACAGTCAGTCCCTTCTCCAGTTACCCACCCCATCCATTGCTGTAGAAGCCTGTTTAGAATTGCCGTGAGTGCTGGGCGGTGGTGGCGTACGCCTTTAATTCCAGCACTCCAGAGGCAGAGGCAGGCGGGTTTCTGTGAGTGCAACGCCAGCCTGCTTTACAGAGTGTGTTCTGGGGTGGGGGATGGCTGTGAGCCCAGTACAAGAGCAGGAGTTATGGCTAAACCAAAATCATCTTCCTAGAGTCCACTAGAAAGCTCCACTCTGCCATCTCTAGGTTTCAATGGCAAAGTCTATTGTTATTCCTCAGCTCTCAACGCCCCCTCCACCCCAAGGGAAGATTGCAGAGTTCCTGGGGCCCTGAAGTTGAGCACAGTCCTCATCACTTGTGTCATCCTGGTCTCACCTATCTGCGGCCACCTGTCCCATTAATAAAGTCGCACTAGAGAGCTACTCCCAACCAAAGACTTGTTAAAGCAGAAGAGAGACCACAGCTGCTCCCTGCCCAGAAGCTGCTGACCCGAGGAAGGAAAGGCTACGTTGGTGTAACTTTCAGAAATTTGAAAGTTGCCTGTTCATGCAGCGCTACCATAGCAACAAATCTAGTGAAAATTATGTTGACCCTTGTAGCAAAACTAGTTTCAAATACTTGGCAGCAAACTATGACCTAACAGGATTTAGCAAAGCTAACAACTTGTGTTTTCATAAGTATTTAGTTTCACTTGTTTGTTGCACTTCAAAACTGGAGTTAAGATAGAAGTTTTTTTGTTGATTTAATATTCCTTTCCTTTTTAAAAGGTTGAGGGTTTTGAGAAATAGTCGGCGCTTGAATACCCCCTGCTACACACACATACACACACACACACACACACACACACACACACCATGGACCAAGCCCCCCACTCCCCATCCTTAGCCCTGAAAAAGAAAGTAAACAATGTAAAAAATTTCACCAGGAAATGAAACAAAGGTAAGCCATCCGAGCCAGAGTTTGAGAAATACTAGAGTCAAAATAGATCGACAATTGATCATGAAAAGAGGAAGTCCAAAAAGCCCCATATGGGCAGGGCACACGGTGTCGCCTTACCTAAAAGGAAGTCGATGGGGCATTGTGGGAAAGTCGCTCACCTTCAGAGCTGAAGGTGATATGTCCAGTTCTCTTCTCACAAAGAATACGCTGCCCATCAGATCCTCAGTTTCCTCATCTGCCAAAAGCAAGTGATACAGTTCTGTGCGGGTTCCGGTAAGCAAGCGGGAGAGAGTGAATGTGTGAGGATCCCTGTAGAGGGGCAAGGCAAGGGAACTGAGGCCCTCGCCTGTCAGGGGTAGTGAGGCCTGGGATGCCCAATAGGCTGCACGCAATAAGGTCAGAAAATGACTGCCTGCTTCATTTTGGCTTCCTTTGCTCAGCCCACTGCAAGAGCCTGTCTGCTGCATAAGGGAGCTGGAGGGGAAGACATGGGAGCTATGGGTAAGAGTAGGCCATGAGGACACTGGGATCCTCCATTTTGATGGAATCCGGTCTTTTTGTTCACCTCCTACCAACTCTTTCCATGTCCCAGCTGGGTACTGACAAAGAAGAAGGTCCTAAAAATCAGAACAGAGGAGCGCTCTGGGGATGTAGGCAGGGTGAAGAAGGGCCCAGCCCACTGTTGACAGGTCCAGCTCTTCCAGCAAGCAGAGCATTGAGACTGGTAGAAGAGCATGCCACCTAAAGTCTGTCCTACGGAAGAACTCCCAGGGGGCGATGCACAACTCTCCAAGTGATGGAGAAAGGACATTGGTTAATTATAATAAAGAAACTGCCTTGGCCCATTTTATTGGTTAGAATATAGGTGGGTGGAGTAAACAGAAGAGAATGCTGGGAAAAAGAAGCTGAGTCAAGGAGTCGCCATGATTCTCCTGCTCCAGACAGACACAGGTTAAGATCCTCCCTGGTAAGCTAGCTCGTGGGCTACATAGAATATTAGAAATGGGTTAGAACAATGTGTAAGAGCTAGCCTGTTGCGGGAGGTCCTTCCGCCCCTCCAACCAATAGCTGCTGTGATACCAGCCCATTGGGGCATGGTCTCTCTCCCTTTAAAAAAGCGGCTATTTCCTCTGCTCGCTCTCTTCACTTCCTGCTCCGCCGGCGACTAGACTCCTTTCCTGGCTGTGCAGATGGCTGTTGTCTGGGACTGTGATCTGTAAGTTTTTTCCACAAAATACCCAGAGACTATTTGCAATTTTAAAAGACATTGATCTTGAAATTTAACCATCATTTTACTTTCACAGGATCCCCCAGAAAGAACGTCGCCCCCATGACAGCTGGAAGTAATTCTAGAGGACAACGTCCCCTCTCCCAGTAAGGTTTGCCCCTGGGTTTAGGGACATCATTTAGGGGTTGGGAGGTTGGGGGAGGAATTTTATAAGCTCAGGGATCATTTTGAAAAAAAAAAAAAAGAGGAATGATGGGATAATAGATTTATAATCGTGAGTTACTGTTTTTAGACAAATATATTGATATCGATTTTTGTATATTGATACAAAGTTAAATTATATTGACTATTGTATGCATGCATGTTTCCACCTCTGTTTAAAACATTTTTTATGTATTGACATATATTGTATTGATATATATATTGTATATATTTACCATATTGCAGTGTACATTTCTACCTCTGATTAAGATACTTATATATTGTTTGTATATTGTATGTGTATATTTGTATACATATTGCAATGTATATTTGTACATTGTTTATATTTGTAGGTCATTGTCCTCATTTGTTTCACAGTCGTTATTGTCTTAGTCTTTAAGTTAGATAAATGTTGAGAATTATATAGATTAATAGTCATCTAAGTTTGTCATTTATAATTAGATTAATCAGGTTCTTTAGATATATAGAGATTATACTCAGTATAGATAGATAATCTTCAACTTCTTCAAAGAGCTGTAGAAAATGGCCTTTAATCTAACTCAGAGTTTTGTGGTAGTGAGACACAATTGCTCCTGGCAACACC